GGCTTAGTTCTTTCACACCCCAAACCCTTCAAACCCCTCTCCCCCCCTCCCCCCCGCAGCCCTCCTCCCTAAGGCTGCAGAGCCAAAGGAGCATGCCATTCCAGAGTTTTCACCACCCGCTGTTTCACCAGAATTATTTCCATTCCCGGCTTTTGAATCACGAAAAAGACATTGTTAATAAGGTTTCTGTTTGTGGGCCGGGAGTGACTTCCGTGGATTTCAACTCCTCACTGAGAAGTAATTGATCACTTTTCTTGTGATTGCAGGGACTCACTTCCTTGGGCAGTCGGACTTATCTCAGAAAAAAAAAAAAAAAAAAAAAAAAAAAAAAAAAAAAAGGTTTAAAATGCAAAATTGCCCTGACCTGTACAGCTCATTTAATTGGAGCAAGGGGTGGCAAATCCCCCTCAGGGCAGCCTTTTTTTTGTCTTTTTTTTAATATATATACTTTTTTTAATTGATTTTTTACAGAGAGGAAGGGAGAGATAGTGCATTAGAAAATAGATGAGAGAAACCAATCAGCTGCCCTCTGCACACCTCCCACTTGGGGATGTGCCTGCAAGCAAGGCACATGCCCTGAGCGAAATGGAACCCGGGACCTCCCCAGCCTGCAGTCCTATACTCCATCCACTGAGCCAAACCGGCCAGGGCTTAGGCAGCCTTTTTTTAAAAATATAGATTTTTTTTATTATTAATTTCAGAGAAGAGAGATAGAAACATCAATAAGAGTCATGAATCCACTGCCTACTGCACTACCCAGGCAGGAGATGGAGCCCACAACCTGGGCATGTGCCCTGAGAGGAAATCTAACCGTGACCTGGTTCATGGGTCGATGCTCAACCAGCGTCATGCCAGCCTATTGATGTTTCTCTTCCACATTGAAGTTTCCCCCCACCCTCCTCTCTAAAAAAATCAAAAATAAAATGCAAAATTACAGAAAGCTATTAACAATGGGCTATATAGTGATGAGGCAATAGTTCTGGTGAGGCATTGGTGGATGGTGAAAACAGTTAAGACCTCAGAGTTTTATCAGTGAAGTCTGAGAAAGCAGAATTAAGGTGAGCACTTGGGAATGGTCACCCAAGTTTTTGCCATTCTTCATGCTTTTTAAAACATGTATATCTTTTTATTCATTTCAGACAGAAAGGGAGGAGAGAGCCAGGAACATCAATGACAAGAGAGAATCATTGATTGGCGGCCTCCGGCATGCTCCCTACTGGGGATCGAGCCCACAACCCAGCGCATGTCCTTGACCTGAATCTAACCTGGGACCTTTCATTCCTCAGGCCTACACTATCCACTAACCCAGTGGTCGGAAAACTCGTTAGTCAACAGAGCCAAATAACAACAGTATAATGATTGAAATTTCTTTTTTAAACTCTATAGGTAGGTACATTGCTATTAACTTAATTAGATACTCCTAAGCTGGCCTTTGCTAAAAACTCAAGGGGCCAAAGAGTCGCATGTGGCTCACTAGCTGCCTCCTGCACACCTCCTACTGGGGATGTGCCTCACAACCAAGGTACATGCCCTTGACCGGAATCAAACCTGGATACTTCAGTCCACAGGCCGACGCTCTATCCACTGAGCCAAACCGGTCAGGGCTCTTTTCTTCTTTGTAGTAATGGCTTTGAGGCGGACATACCTGAGAGGGTCCAGGAATCCACAAGGCTGATTGTTTTTGTTTTTTCTGACCATGATGTCGGCTTCCTAAGATGAGCATGCCAGCGGGCCCCGAGCTGTGTGTACACCAATCGTGCAGTCACTGTCACAGGCACACTCCTAGAGGCATGTTCTGAAGAGGGATGATCTCCCGGGTTGGCTGCAGTCTCCTCCAATCCCTATTGGGCCACTGCTTCTGTACCAACTGTGATTTTCCCTGGACCGTCTTCCCACCACAGACCCACAGCCCAGCAACATGTGGAAATCAGGGCACGTGACACTTGGAGACCCAAGAGATAGATCCCCGTGACAGTACTGGTATAATTTGCTTTGGGTGAAGGAAACATTTTTTTTTTAAATATATTTTTATTGACTTCAGAGAGGAAGAGATAGAAACATCAACGATGAGAGAGTATCATTGATTGGCTGCCTCCTGCACACTTCCCACTGGGGATGGAGCCCACAACCTGGGCACATGCCCCAACTGGGAAACGAACCAGTAACCTCCTGGTTCCTGGGTTGACGCTCAACCACCCTAACTCAACCACTGAGCTACACCTGGCCAGGCTGAAGGAAACATCTTACTACTCCCATAAGTACCTTAGGATCTATCTCACCTGCTCCCTCAAAGTCATCGCCAAGACTCCAACACACAGCCACCAAATCAGGACCAGAGAGTCTTTCAGTCCTTCCTGGGAGGCTGTGCACAGCCACTCAAACTTGGTCAAAACTGGCCAGTTATTTTCTGCCATTTTACAGCCTGTCCATAAGCAGAGAAATTCTGAGACATCCTCCCCCGCCTTAAAATGCTGTTCACCTCTGCATGCTTGTAGAGCCTGAAGCAGGTTATACACAACCCCATACATTAAAACAAATAAGAAATTTAAAAGAATGAAAAGCTCTGGTAGGTGTGGCTCAGTGATGAGAGAACTGGCTTGTGCACCCAAGAGTCATGGGTTCAATTCCCTGGGTCAAGTGCACTTACCTGGGTTGTATGGCCCATCCCTGGCCCCAGCTGGGGTGTGTGTAAAAGCCAAGCAATGTGCCTCATTCACATCAGTTTTTTTCTCTTTCTGTCCCTCCCCAACTATTCCTCCTTCCCATTCTTTCTAAATGTCAATGGGAAAAAAATATCCTTCAATGAGGATTAAAACAACAACAAAAAGAAATGAAAGAGTAAGACCTCAATGGATAGAGCATCGGCTTGGGGACTGAAGGATCCCGGGTTCGATTCTGGTCAAGGGCATGTACCTTGGTTGCGGGCATATCCCCAGTAGGGGGTGTGCAAGAGGCAGCTGATTGATGACTCTCTCTCATTGATGTTTCTAACTCTCTTTCTCTCTTCATCTCTGTAAAAAAATCAATAAAATATATATATTTTTAATTTAAAAGAAAAAAAAATTTAAAAAAAAGAAAGAAAAAGAAAAAAGAAAGAGTAAGACCTCACTCAGCCAGTATGGCTAAATGGCTGAGCATCGACTTATGAACCAGGTGTTCATGGTTCCATTCCCAGTTAGGACAAATGCCTAGGCCAGTGGTGGGCAAACTGCGGCTCATGAGCCACAGGCGGATCTCTGGCCCCTTGAGTGTGGCTCGCCCACAAAATACCACGGCCTGGATGTCTATTTTGAAGAAGTGGTGTTAGAAGTTTAAAAAATGTGACTCTCCAAAGAAATTTCAATCGTTGTACTGTTGATATTTAGCTCTGTTGACTAATGAGTTTGCCTACCACTGGCCTAGGTCATGAGCTCGATCCGGAGCAGGCAGCATGCAGGAGGCAGCTGATCCATGGTTCTCTCTCATCATTGATGTTTCTCTCTCTCTCCCTCTCTCAGAAATCATCAATAAAAAATATATTTAGCCGAAACCGGTTTGGCTCAGTGGATAGAGCGTCGGCCTGCGGACTGAAGGGTCCCGGGTTTGATTCCGGTCAAGGGCATGTACCTTGGTTGCGGGCACATCCCCAGTAGGGAGTGTGCAAGAGGCAGCTGGATGATGTTTCTCTCTCATCGGTTTCTAACTTTCTATCCCTCTCCCTTCCTCTCTGTAAAAAAAATCAATAAAAATATATTTTTTTAAAAAATATATATATATATCTAAAAAATAGATTAAGGCCTTGCCTTGGCCAATGTGGCTCAGTTGGTTGAGCATTGTCTGATGTACCAAAACGCTGCTAATTCAATTCCTGGTCAGGGCACATGTTCAGATTGCAGGTTATATCCCTGGTCGGAGTGAGTACATGAGGCAATAGATCAATGTTTCTCTCTCTTCCTCTCCCTCTCTACAATAAATAATATATATATATATTTTTTTTTTAAAAGAGTAAATTCTCAATTATTGTGTAAGCCAAAGTCATGAGCAGCAGACAGTTCCAACTTCATCAACTGGAAGGTGGAATAACTCAGCACAAATGATCACCCTCAATGAACATGTCCTTAGAACACGTAGTCAATGCTCTGCAAGCTCCAATTCATTATTGCAGCTTGTCCATGTCCAAATCCTATCTAATAAAAGGGTAATATGCAAATTTACTGTCACTCCAACACACAAGATGGCTGCAACAAGATTGCCAGCAGAGGTGGGCAGTTGGGAGGAACCAGGCCTGCAAGGGAGGACAGTTGGGGGTGACCAAGCATGCAGGGGGGGGCAGTATGGGGGGACCCAGGGCTGCAGGGGACAGCAGTTGGGGATGACCAGGCCTGCAGGGGAGGGCAGTTAGGGGCAATCAGGCTAGCAGGGGAGTGGTTAGGGATTGATTAGGCTGACAGGCAGGAGCGGTAAGGATCAATCAGGAAGGCAGGCAAGCAAGCAGTTGGGAGCCAGCAGTCCTGGATTATGAGATCGGGCCTAAACGGGCAGTTGGACATCCCTCAAGGAGTCCCAGATTGGAGAGAGTGCAGGCTGGGCTGAGGGACCTACATCCGTGCCCAATTTTTGTGCACCAGGCCTCTCATTAGTCATAATAGAAAAGCTGATGCCCTGGTCATTTCTATTTTGCCATAATATCCGTGACACCAGAGGTTAGCTTCCATAAGCACATTGAGGTGTTGACTACCACACAGTCTGTGACCTGCCAGGTGGAAAGGTGAAAAGAATTAGCTTTAGACTCTAGGAGCGCCGTATACTGAGAAGCAGCCCTGGGCAAGTCGGAATGAGAAAAACTACTTACACACACACACACACACACACACACACTTCCTACATACAAAAAACTTACGGGGAATCTCCCCACTGTGCATATTCGGATATAAAGGAGTTTTAATTCAGACAAATGACTCCCCAAAATGTTCCCTCACGTGTTGTGACACGGAGCAGGACACTGTTCGTTCCCAGCACGTTTACGGCCTCTCTGCCACGTGAACTCGCTGGTGGTAACGGAGTTTGGAGCCATAGATAAAAGACTTCCCACACTCATTGCACTTGTAAGGCCTCTCGCCAGTGTGGACTCGCTGGTGGTAACGAAACGTAGAACTGTAGATAAACGATTTCCCACACTCACCGCACGTGTAAGGTTTTTCGCTCGCGTGAACCCGCTGATGGTAACGGAGCTTGGCGCTGTAGATGAACGTCTTCCCACACTCGCCGCACGCGTAAGGCCTCTCGCCCGTGTGGACGCGCTGGTGGTAACGGAGTTTGGCGCCGTAGACGAACGTCTTCCCACACTCGCCGCACGCGTAAGGCCTCTCTCCCGTGTGGACGCGCTGGTGGTAACGGAGGGAGGAGCCCGAGGAGAAAGACTTCCCGCACTGGCTGCACGGGAAAGGCTTTTCCCTTGCGTGGACTCTAGGATGGTAACGGAAGAGGTCGCCGCTGGCAAAAGATTTCCCAGCCTCGCCCCCCTCGCCCGGCCTTGCTCCCGGATGAACCTTCCGATGTTTCCCGAGGCTGCTGCTTGTGGGAAAGGACTTCCCGCACTCATTGCACGCGTAAGGCCTTTCTCCCGTGTGAACCCTCTCGTGGCAGTGCAGGGCGTAGATCCTGGCAAAGGACTTCCCACAGTCACTGCACTCGAAGGGCCTTTCTCCCGTGTGAACCCTCTGGTGATACAGGAGGCTGCTCCGACGGGTAAAGGATTTCCCGCAGTCACGGCAGGCGTGGGGCTTTTCTCCCGAGTGAGTTTTCTGGTGGGAACGGTAGGTGGAGCGGCAGATGAAAGACTTGCCGCACTCGCTGCAGGTGTAGGGCCTGGTCCCCGCGTGAAGGCTGAGATGGTAGCGGAGGCCGGAGCTCGTGGTGAACGATTTGCGGCACTCGCCGCACTCGTACGGCCGCGTCCCCAGGTGGCCCTGCTCGTGGTACCGGAGGGTGAAGCTGTTGGTGAAAGCCTTGCCACACCTGCCGCAGGCGTAAGGCTTCTCTCCCGTGTGAATCCTCTGGTGCCGCACGAGTTTCCACCGGTTGTTGAAGGATTTCCCGCACTCGCCGCAGTCGTGAGACCTCTCTCCGGTGTGAACCCGACGGTGATAGCGAAGGGCCGTGGGAGTGATGTAAGACTTGCCACAGTCGCTGCACACATACGGTCTTTTTCCCGTGTGAGCGCTTTGGTGATAACTGAGACCAGCCACAGAGGTGAACGACTTGGAACAGCAGTTACACTTATAAGGCTTCCCTCCGGTGTGAACTCTCGGATAGCGAACGAGCGCAGAGCCAGGACCAGAAGACTGGGCACACTCACTGCACATGTAACTGTTTTCTCCACCGTGCCGTCCCCGGGGATAAAGGAAGGCAGGCTTGTGGCTTAGGGATTTTCCACATTTGCTGCACGTGTACTGCCTCGGGCCCGCATGAGTGTTTCGATGCTGACTGAGGGTTGAGCTTCCGAGAAAGAATTTCCCGCGTTTGCCGGACACGTGAAAGCCTTTTCCCGTGTGGACTCTGTGGCGCCTCACACAGGAGGATTTGTACCTGAATGGTTTTTCGCATTCACCCGACACAAAACACCGTCTTGCCGTGTGGACATTCTGGTCCTGAACAAGCACGTGTTGGGGGTTCAGAGCTTTCTTGCATTCTCCGGAAGTGTCCAGGCTTGCTTTGCTTTGTGGAGTTATACACAGAGTTCCCTCGTTTTTCTCCTCCCGGGTCTGAGTCAGCTGCTGCGGCTGCTGTTGTCCCAAGCTGGGCAGGAAGTCCCTTTCACCCTGCTCAGAGGTAAAGGTCTTCTCTGACATGTGGGTGCTGCAGCTTTTTGCGAATGAGGCCGTGTCGGCACTATTTCCAAAGGGTTCCTCTCCTACGGGCTGCTCCTTAGGCGGGTGACAGTTTACACGGAAATAAAACCGTTTTGCACACGCCCCGCACCTCAGCAGCTTCTGGCTGTGCTGCGTCCCCTGCTGCTCGACCAAGTGGAAAACGTCCCTCAGGACCGGCCTGCAGCGCCCACAGGGGTGTCTTCTCTGGGAAGACGAGGCTGCCTTGGGATTCTTCCCCTGCGACACGCCCACAGAAACCCTCTGTTCACCATGTGCTTCCGCATCGTCCGCTCCACAGCAGCAACCTGAATGCAAGGAAATGCTGGTGAAGTACACGTCGACTAAAGGGAGGGGAGAACCCCATCACACATACTCACGTGGCAGCCCCAGCCGGTTTGGCTCAGTGGATAGATCATCCACCTGCGGACCGAGAGATCCTGGGTTTGATTCAAGTCAAGAGCACACTCCTCAATCGCAAGGTCCTTCCGGCCCAAGCCCTGATAAGGTGCATGCAGGAGGCAACCAATTGGTGTGTTTCTCTAGCATCAATATTTCTGTCTTTCCCTCTCTAAAAAATAAATGGAAAAATATCCTCAGGTGAGGATTAAAAACAAAACAAACAAATTAAAAAAATACACACACACACACACACACACACACACACTGAGTAGCCAGATTATTATGATCTCTGAACGCATATAATCTGGCCACTCAGTGTGTATCCTATAGAATAGCAGGCTAATATGCAAATTCTCCCCTCAACCAGAAGTTCGGCCAGCAGGCAGGCCGGCCAACCACTCATGTCCTCTCTCCCTGGCCAAGCTGGCCGGACCACACTCATGCAGGAATTCATGCACTGAGCCTCTAATACACACACACACACACACACACACACACACACACACTCACACACATCTCCACACTGAGTGGCAAGATTATGTGTTCCAAGATAATAACAATCTGGCCACTCAGTGTGTGTGTGTGTGTGTGTGTGTGTGTGTAATTATTCATGTGTCATATGTAGGTATGAATGTATGACATGCATTTCTTTATATATTAAATATATATATATTGATTTTAAAGAGGAAGGGAGAGGGAGAGAGAAACATCAATGAGAGATAATCATGGATTGGCTACCTCCCACACACCCCCTACTGGGGATGGAGCCTGCAAACCAGGCATGTGCCCTTGGCAATTAAGTCCCAAGGATGACACTCTTTCCACTGAGCCAAACCGGCTAGGGCTGTATGACAGGCTTTTCAAAACAAACAGCTCTAACCGGTTTGGCTCAGTGGATAGAGCATCGGCCTGCGGACCTGCGAAATGAAGGGTCCCAGATTTGATTCCAGTCAAGGACATGTACCTTGGTTGCGGGCACATCCCCAATAGGGGGTGTGCAAGAGGCAGCTGATCAATGATTCTCTCTCATTGATGTTTCTAACTCTCCCTCTCTCTTCTTCTCTGTGAAAAATCAATAAAACATTTTTTTTTTAAAAGAATTCTTTAAAAAAAAAATAAATAAATAAAAAAGAAGATGTAACAACTTGGCTCAGTGGATAGAGTCACGGACGGAAGGGTCCCGGGTTGAAGGCTCAGTCCCTAGTAGGGAGTGTGCAGGAGGCAGTCAGTCAGTGATTCTCTCTCATCATTGATGTTTCTCTCTCACCCTCTTCCTTCCTCTCTGAAATCAACAAAATGGAAAAAAAAATGTAACAACTATATGATTATATGCACTGCATATCAGAGCATCTAAATTAAGTATTAAGGCTCCAGCTGGTTTAGCTCAGTGGATAAAATGTTGGCCTGAGGACCGAAGGGTCCTAGGTCAATTCCAGTCAAGAGCATATACCTCGGATCCAGGCTCCTCCCGGAGATCAATGTCTACCAGATGCCCAATGGGGGTCGGGGCCTCAGAGGTCAAACACAACAAGGTCAATGTCTACCAGGTGCCCAGTGGGGGTCAGGGCCTCAGGGGTCAAACACACCGAGGTCAATGTCTACCAGGTGCCCAGTGGGGTCTGGGACCTCAGGGGTCAAACACATCGAGGTCAATGTCTACCAGCTGCCCAGTGGGGTCTGGGACCTCAGGGGTCAAACACCGAGGTCAATGTCTACCCAGTCGGAGTCTGGCGTCCCAGGGCAACTTTTGTGATGTTGTTCGGGTGCCTGGGGCCGCCTGCTGGATGAAATGTGTCCCGACACGCTCTGCTTTGAGAAAACTTGAAGTCTATCTTTTTGTTTGTTTTATTTTAACTTAAGTTTTAAATTATATTTTTATTGATTTCAGAGAGAAAGGGAAAGGGAAAGAGAAACATCAATGATGAGAACCATTGATCGGCTGCCTTCTGCACACCCCATATGGGGATCCAGCCCACAACCCAGGCATGTGTTCTTGACCGGAATTGAACCTGGGATCCTTCCGTCCGCAGGCTGAGGCCCTACCCACTGAGCCGAACAGAACAGGGCACTGTCTTGAGATTTGTAAAACACATATAAATGGAGAATCTGAATGTAATTCAGAGATCTCTTTATAGGCCAGACTTCCCGGTCACTGAGTTAGTATAAAATAAAATAAAATGAGGGGTTTTCTTTGTTTTTTTCCCTTTTGGTTATTGCCCTTGAAGGTGGACCAGGGTTACGGCATCCAAGGAGGCGAATGTGAGGAATGTTTTAAAAAAATATATATTTTATTGATTTTTTTTTTTTTTTACAGAGAGGAAGGGAGACGGATAGAGAGTCAGAAACATCCATAAGAAACATCAATCAGCTGCCTCCTGCACCCCCCACACAGGGAACGTGCCCGCAACCAAGGTACATACCCTTGACCGGAATCAAACCTGGTACCTTTCAGACGCTCTATCCACTGAGCAAAACCAGTTAAGGTTCATGATTAATGTTTTTATCTCTTTCCCTTCCTCTCTGAAATCAATAAAAAAAAAGTACTTAAAAAAAAAAACCACAAAAAAAACCTTTATTCCTACAAACCCAAGTAAAGGCAAATCAACTGGCTCCTGCCCATGCACCACCTCTATCTTATCTAATAAAAAAATAATATGCAAATTGACCATCACTCCAACACACAAGATGGCTGCCTCTTAGGTGGTCAAAGATGGCTGCCCCAATGAGGATACAAGATGGCTACCACAAAATGGCCAGCAGTTGAGGGCAGTTGGGAGGGACCAGGCCTGCAAGGGAGGGCAGTTGAGGGCAATCCAGCCTGCAGGGGAGCACAGGTAGGGGTGACCAGGCCGGCAGAGAAGGGAAGTTGGGGGCAACTGGGCCTGCAGGGAAGGGCAGTTTGGGGGAACCCAGGCCTTGCAGGGAAGAGCATATGCGGGGGAGGGGGCAGGCTGCAAGGGAGGGCAGTTAAGGGGAACCAGGCCTGCTGGGGAGGGCAGTTAGGGGCAAACAGGCTGGCAGGGAGCAGTTTGGCATCAATCAGAGTGGCAGGGGAGTGGTTAGGAGGTGAACAGGCTGGCATGCAGAAGCAATTAGGGGCAATCAAGAAAGCAGGCAGGCAAGCAGTTGGGAGCCAACAGTCCTGGATTGTGAGAGGGAAGTCTGACATCCCTCAAGGGTTCCCATATTGGAGAGGGTGAAGGCTGAGCTGAGGGATACACACACCCGTGCACAAATCAGTGTGGGAATTATTTTACTCTTAGAGGCCTGGTGTACAAAATTTATTCATGGGTAAGGTCCATAGGCCTGGCCTGCGATCAAGGTTGATTGGGGCCTTCAGATTGCTGGCCAGAGCCTCCATTTGCTCCATTCTGCCCCGTGGTGGTCAGGGCACATCATAGCAAGTGATAGAACTCCTCAGGGGACACTTTGCCTATTAACCTTTTATAGGGTGTCCACCAAAAATGCATACATACTTTGAATAACTGTAAAGGCAAGGTACATGCCCGGAATCGAACCTGGGACCCTTCAGTCCGCAGGCCGACGCTCTATCCACTGAGACAAACTGGTTTCCGCGCACTGTACACTTTAATACATACAAGTCTGTATTGCAACCAGGCTGGGAAACAGAAAAGGAAGACAGATCTAAACAGGACACGCTGTGCAGAAGAGCCTTGAAGAGGAGCCCGGCTTCAGATAAGCACGCCCCAGACCACACCTGCGAGTCCCGGCATAGGCAGGCGGGAGGAATGACCCGGACAGGAAGGGACCACACCAGGGAGACGGAGGGGTATGGGTCCGGACACATCAGCCCAGACACTGAGAATCCGTGAAGCTCGATGCGATGTGACTGACGGACCTTGAATCCTTCCCAAAGGGCTCAGCACTGGGAGCGCAGGGGAGAGAAGAGGCAGTGCAGACCCACAGGCCCAGCAGCACAGCAGCCACCCCGCACCCGGGCAGGCAGCCCTGCTGAGGTCCAGGCCCGCGGACTGAGAGAGCCGAGAGGGGGAGGGAGGAGAGTCCAGCCCGAGTCCCAGGTGAGGCTGTGAGTCTTACCCAGAGAGGACACAAGGGCAAAGTTCTCCAGCATCACACGCAGGTACAGGCGTCTCTGGGCCTCGTCCACCAGCCTCCATTCTTCCCGCGAGAAACGCACGGCCACGTCCTCCAAGGTCACCGCGGCCTGTGGGAACGGGGACAGAGGACACCGTGACCACTCTGTGCCCGAGAACCCGCAGCCCCTCTCCCCACTCCCCTCCGAGGAACTCCACAGGGGGCACAGGCCAGGGGGGCCCCCATCCTCAGGGTCCCCGCATGCCTGCGGGCCTGCCCTCAGCCACAGCGGGCAGCAGGGCACAGAGATGGAACCCAGCTCCGGTCCCGGCGTGCAGGGCCCCCATCATGGCACGCATCCCCCTCGGGGTCTCTGGGGGAGACAAGGCACGGCCCAGCCCGGGCTCAGGCTGCACCTGTCAGACCCCCATGCTCGGCCCCGGGGCCCTAACTCCCACGTCCCCGCACTGCGCACAGCCTCTGCAGACCGCACCCCGCCCCCCGTCCCCGCGGCGCCCCCACAGCCGCGCACTCGGGGAGCCGCCGCTGGACAGGCCTCTCCGCACCGCTGGCCCCGCGTCCCCATCCCCCCGGGAGCTCCCGCAGCTCAGAGGCCCCGCCCCGGGCCTGAGGGCTCCCCGCCGGGCACAGGGACCCGGAAACGCCCTCGCCCCCTCCAGCGCCCCCACATTCCGGGGACCCCGAGCGGGAGGGGAGGCGGGAGCTGTGCCCGCTGTCACCTCCTCCCCCGCCTCCCCCGCCTCCTCCGCCCGCGGAGCCCCCGGTCCTCCTCCTCCCGGAGCCTCAGGGGCCGCGGACGGTCCTCTCCCCCCGGGAGTCACCCACCACCTCCCGCCCGGACTCAGACCCAGATGCAGAGGAAAAAAATAAAATTTTAAAAAAGCTCCAATGGCCTCGGATCTTCCTGAGCAGCTGGCGCCCGGCTTCCCGCCCGAATGTGCCCCGCGGGGCCCGGGGGACACTCACCTCAGCGGGGCGCCTCCCGGCCGCCGCCATCGGCCTCGGCAGGGAGCAGGCGCGGACCTGACGGTCCCGGTCCCGGCCCCCGGCTCGGACCCGTGCCCGGAGGAGGGCTCCGCCGCTGGCGCCTTTCCCGCTTTGTTGCCTGAAAAGGGGCCTCTGGCGCCGGAACCCGCGGAGGCCAACCTGCGAAGATGGACGGCTGCAGGGAGGCCGCCGGAAGTCCCGCCTCCAGCCCGGGGTCTCTCCTGGCAACGCTGTCATCCTGAAGGGTCACGGCCTCAGCTCGGCGCAAAGCTTTCTGGGGAATGTAGTTTCTGGAGCTGAAAGGACGCAGAAGGGAGCTCAGCCTCCTGGGCCACTGGGATGGGCGCCCCTGGTGGGTCCCCGTGGTTAAGATGCGACCTGAGTGAGGGGCCGGCTCCTTGTAAATTGCTGCAAACACTTGAATCTGACAATAATGACTTTAGGACAGGACTCAGTGGTCAGCAAACTCATTAGTCAACGGAGCCAAATATCAACTGAACGACGATTGAAATTTCTTTTGAGAGCCAAATTTTTAAACTTAAACTTCTTCTAACGCCACTTCTTCCAAATGGACTCGCCCAGGCTGTGGTATTTTGTGGAAGAGCCACACTCAAGGGGCCAAAGAGCCTAAGTTTGCCGACCACTGGGATAGGTTAAGGTCTCCCTGCCCCCCCCCCCCACACTTAAGGCACCTATTGCAAACCCAGTGGTTTATCTGAGCTTCACAACAACAGGGTGTTTGACACAGAGAACCACAGGCAGCCTGGCTGGTGTGGGCCAGGGTGGCTCAGTGGTTGAGCATCCACTTATGAACCAGGAGCGCCAGGTTTACTGCCTGATGATGGCATGGGTCCCAGTCAGGGCATATGTGGGCTTGGTCCCAGTTGGGGGGAGTGCAGGAGGCAACCGATTATTAAAGTTTCATCATTAAAGTTTCTTTTTCTGGTCCTAACTGGTTTGGCTCAGTGGATAGAGCATTGGCCTGCGGACTCAAGGATCACAGGTTTGATTCCGGTCAAGGGCATGTACCTTGGTTGCGGGCACATCCCCAGTAGATGGGCAGGAGGCAGCTGGTCAATATTTCTCTCTCATTGACATTTCTGGCTCTCTATCTCTCTCCCTTCCTCTCTGTGAAAAATCAATAAAATATATTTAATAAATAAATAAATAAATAAAGTAGGGGACCTGCTTCCCACATGACTGAAACTTAAAGGGAATCTCCCATCTGTGACAACGGAAAGTATGAGACTGAATTCAGACAGATGGCTTCTCATGGCTTCTTCCAGGGTCATTATACGGAACAAGAAAATTGAGAGAGAAACATCCATCAGCTGTCTCCTGCACACCCCACACTGGGGATATGCCTGCAACCAAGGTACATGCCCTTGACCAGAATCGAACCCGGGACCCTTCAGTCCGCAATCTCATGCTCTATCCACTGAGTCACACCGGCGGGGCAGAAGGTGCTTTCTTACATCAAAACCCATCTCGGCACATTATTAATATTTCTCCCATTTAGACAAAACCTGTTGCTGAAACCGGTTTGACTCAGTGGATAAAGCGTCGGTCTGTGGGCTGAAAGGTCCCAGGTTTGATTCTGGTCAAGGGCATGTACATGGGTTGTGGGCACATCCCCGGTAGGGGGTGTGCAAGAGGCGGCTGGTCGATGTCTCTCTCTCATCGATGCTTCTGGCTCTCTATCCCTCTGCCTTCCTCTCTGTAAAATATCAATTAAATATATTTAAAAAAAACAAAAAAACCTGTTTGGCTCAGGGGAAGGGCCTCAGTGGATAGAACCCGGGAACCTGAGGAGTACCAGGTTCCATTCTGGTCGGGGGCATGTACCTTGGTTGCGGGCTCATCCCCTGTGGGGCGTGTGCAGGAGGCAGCTGATCGATGTTTCTCTCTCATCCATGTTTCTAACTCTCACTCCCTCTCCCTTCCTCTCTGTAAAATAAATAAATAAATAAGTAAGTAAATAAATAAAGTATATTTTAAAAATAATTATAATAGCCAAGTAGATAGAGCTCAGTGGATAGAGCGTGGGCGTGCGGACTGAAAGGTCCCAGGTTCGATTCCGGTCAAGGGCATGTACCTTGGTTACGGGCACCTCCGCAGTAGGAGGTGTGTAGGAGCCAACTGATCAATGTCTCTCTTTCATTGATGTTTCTAACTCTCTATCCCTCTCCCTTCCTCTCTGTAAAAAATTAGTAAAACATATTTTTAAAAATAGAAAAAAATAAAAGTAATTATAATAATAGAAACACTACTTTTACAGGCTTGTCCCGTCTCAAACCTCGCAATCCAGCCTGGAGAACGTCCGCGCCAGCCCCAGAACGCTTGGAACTACATTTCCCAGAATCCCGTGCGCCAGGTTGAGCCAACGACAAACCAGAATGGGATCCTCTCTGTGTGACGTCTCAATAGGGGGCGTGGCTACTGCGTTTTTTATCAGGTCCCGCGGGGTCCGCTGGTCCAGGGTGACAGGGATTGGAAAAGGCAAGAGGTGGTCGTGGTCCGCGCTGCTCGGACGCGGGTGTGAGGCTCGGGGATCCCACGGGGCCCCCCTCTTCGCCCGCCGCCCCCACCGGCCCGCCCCGCCCGCGGAGCCCGATGGCGGCGGCCGCGCCCGGGCGCCGGGCTGAGGTGAGCTTGTCCCCGGGGCCTCCCCGCCTCCCTGACCCGACCCCGCAGCCCCTCCTGCAGCCCAGGCCCCGGGTCCGAGAGGAAGGCCGAGGGCAGAGAGGAGGGCTGGGGCTCCTGAGGCGCCAGCAGGTCCGAGCCCGGTGGGAAGTGGGGGGAGGGGAGGGAAAGGGGTTCGCGCCCCAAATCCCAGCGCCCTTCTGGCGCCTGAAGGTGAAGTGAAGACATCTGGAGCCTGGTGTCTCCTGGGAGGGAGGTCCCCCTGGAGGAGCTGTGGGTAGGTGTGTGAGGGGATGGGCTGGGAGGGCCTCAGAAAGACAAAAGTGTGGCCGAAACCTGTATAGCTCAGTGGATAGAGCATCTGCCTGCGAACTGAAGGGACCCCAGTTAGATTCTGGTCACGGGCCCCTGCCTGTTTTGCTTGCTCAATCCCCCGTGCGGTGTGTGCAGGAGGCAGCCAATCGATGAATCTCTCTCCTCCCATCCTCTCTGAAATAAAAATATCTTTTAAAAATAATAATAGAGTCTTAACCAGTTTGCCTCAATGGATAGAGCATCAGCCTGCGGACTGAAGGGTCCCGAGTTGGATTCCGGTCAAGGGCATGTACCTAGGTTGTGGGCACATTCCCAGTGGGGGGCGTACAGGAGGCAGCTGATCAATGTTTCTAACTCTCTATTCCTCTCCCTCCCTTTCAGTAAAAAAAAAAAAAATCAAAAAAAATTTTTTTAAAAAAAGAACAACAAAGTGTGTGGAAAGCGGCTACAGCGTTTGGACAGGTTCAAGCCTCAGGCTAATGAGAGGGCACTGTCCTCTCATGGCAGAGTCACGTGCAGGTCCTGGCTTGGAGAGCAAAGCTACTCCCAGCACAACTATAGCCAAAGGCTGTGGTTGTCAGCTTGACCTTAGGTCTGAACCTGGGGTCCCAGGTGGCTGAGTGAGGTGGGCTGTGGGAAGTGCAGCAAGTGCTGCCACAGGAAAGCTTGATGGAGTTCTGGTGCATGGAATTGAGTAGACTGGAATCCTGGGAGAACATTATAAACATCTTGACCACGCCCTTCCTTTGCCTGGTGGAATCTGGCTATAAAATAAAGACTCAGCTTGCAGGCTGTGGCACTGTCTCTCCATCAGAGGGCAGTGTCCCACCTAGCCCCAGCTTTATTCTCTTGTCCGTCTTCTTGAATCTTTCACAACCCCCTACCCCCACCTCCACAGGTTCACCCCTGGCTGTACTGAGCATAATACAAAAATGTATGGTTTCCTCTGTCCCCATCTCGCCAGGACCATGTGACCTTTGATGATGTGGCTGTGTACTTCTCCCGGGAGGAGTGGAGGCTCCTCGATGAGGCTCAGAGAGGCCTGTACCACCATGTGATGCTGGAGAACTTGGCCCTTGCCTCCTCTCTGGGTAAGACTCTCACCCTCTCACCAGAGACTTGGACTAAGCTCTGCCCGGCCTCCCGTTTCTTTCCCCAGAGGCTGCTCTGTGGACCCCACGTGCTCCCCTGTGGACCCCAGGCTCTGCCCTCCTCTCTGCTGCAGCCCCACTGCCTGCTGCACTGAACTCCTCTCATAGGGAGGGGATACTGTGAGCCTTATGCCGTCCACCATGCTTTCCCACTCCCTGGCCTGGGCCTTGTATCATGATCCAAGATTTTTGTTGTTTTAATATTAAAAAAAAAAAAAAAAAAAAAAAAAAATATATATATATATATATATATATATATATATATATATATATTTCATTTTATTTTTAACACACACACACACACATTTTTACACAGAAGAAGGGAGAGGGATAGAGAGTTAGAATCATCAACAAGAGAGAAACATCAATCAGCTGCCTCCTCCACACCCCTTTCTGGGGATGTGCCGGCAATCAAGGAATCAAACACGGGAACCTTCAGTCCACAGGCTGACGCTCTATCCATTGAGCCAAACTGGTTAGGGCTAGTTCTTTTTTTGTTGTTTATTTGTTTTTGTTCCAGTGTTGCTGATGTGTAAAATGGTATATATTTAAGTTGTACAATGTGGGGATGTGATATATCCTACCTAATAAAAGAGAAATAAAAAGAGAGAGAGAGAGAGAGAGAGAGAGAGAAACATGCAAATTGACTGCACCTTCGCTATGCCAACAAGCTTCACCCACCAGCCAATAAAGATGAGTATGCTAATTAACCCAACCAAGATGGCTACAGCCACAGAGAGCAGGAGGGAGGCTTGGGTTTCCCCAGCAATGGAAGAAGCCAAGCTTTCCACCTCCCCTAGCTGGCCTAGGCCTCCAATCAAGGCTACAAAGTTTCAATCATAGAAAATAAATAAATCCAGCCGAAACCAGTTTGGCTCAATGGATAGAGCGTCGGCTTGG